TTCCGTATCCATCCTATTCGTATCTATGCATCTACCAACATATATTATTCTATCCATTATGCTTAAGCAAAGATCTGGCTCTCGAAGTTAGGACCTTGATCACTATGAAAGGATTCAGGTACTCCATGTTGCCAAATCTACCGATTATAGATGACTGAAGCAATCGTTTCAGAGTCTTGTTACTTTATGGTTTCTACCTCGGTTACTTTCGCGAAACAGTCTGCAATGACCAGAATATACCGGTTTTCTCTCCCCCTGGGCGTTAGAGGGCCCATAATGTTTACACGTACTCCCTCCCCTGAAAAACCAGTGAGCATGGGGTGCAGAGGTGCGATAGCTGTGAGACAAGGCCTTTGGAAACCGCTGCAATTGATGCAGGTCTGGCAGATTTCTAGTACGTCTGGGGTGAGCGAAGGCCACAAGTATCTTTTGTAAGAGACAGCTAGCACTGGTGACGGCCCCAATGGACCTCCCCCCAGTGGGAGATAATGTGAACTCTGAAGAGTGGCTCAAGACAGCCAAATTCAACCTCCATCTCTATGCCACCGCTGCCACCAGTGTAGGACGAGGCTTGTAGATCTCCTCTTTCCTGACACTTGCACTCTTGAAACATACCATAGTGATTTGCTTTTGTCATATATTTTGCATAAGGCAACTAACGAGGAGATGATTGTTCTGGAAGGTTTGAACACAGAATTTCTCTCCGGATTATGGAATTACTATTCCCTTCAGTCACCAGGTTTGCTTCGGATATCCGCCTCCTCTCTAAAAGGCCCGTTTCAGGCGAGATACTACACTAGGATACTCAAAATACATTAGGTATTTTAGTTATAAGCTGATGCCGCGCTCTTCTATTTAGCCAAAAAGCTGCCTTCTACATTTAGAAGGGGTGTGTTAATTCTAGTGGCATTCGCTCTTCTTCATTATTACCCACTGGTGTTCCATTTGTTGGCATGACTACGCCTGTGAAATAATGGGTTCACCATTCGAGAGTATTTAGTCTGTTCCACACGAATCAGAGGCAATGAATGAGGAATATGGCAATGTTTTCACAAAGTCACGGAATTGAAATAAAAAACATCGAGTTCATTTTTATGTTGACAAAACAAATCATTGAATCCCAAAGGGATATAAAGGATAGTTCAGGAATAATATGACGTGGTTTAGCGCACATAAGGCATAAATCAGGGTAAAATAATTTTTAAAAACTTGGATTTGTTTTCAGTGCAGACATTGTTTCATTATTATCATTCAATTGCATGTCACTCATTGCATGCGTCATGCTGTTATGAGTGAATTTGTGTTCATTTAATAACAATGAAACTTTTTGTAGTTCTTTGTATTTGTATGCATTCATTTTGACACCCTGTTATACAGAAGGATCCTTCTACTGATTAGCTTAAATTGCCCTTGCAGTGTGCTGGATTCTCTGTTGTTTTATCAAGGGTGGATTTTGGTTAATAAGGCGTTATTTGTTGAAAAATTTAACTATCTATTAAGGATTTGCGTTTGCTCAGTGCTAAACATATTGCAAATTTCAAATTCTGCAAAGCTGCAATTTTTTCCATGTAGGACTATCTGATAAGCATGGAGGCAATGCCGATCAGCACTAAATGCAAATTTCGCCTTTTTCTACTAGGCACACCGCAGTTGCGAACACAATCGTTTGAAGTGAACTAATCACTCCTTACGGACCGTGGATGACCTGCCCAGGTGAGAATGAGTTGCAATTAGTGAGTTTTGTCGTGGGTTATGTGCACCCATATTTTTTATGTATGTATTATAAGCGACAGTCCTCTTTCATTCTGCACCATGGGTTTAAGTTTAGGTGCTTTGTTCTGTGTTGAATATTTCTTAGTTTGGCGCAAGAGCCGTTTTCCATGTCGTCTACATGCATGTGCCCTCCCGTAAATGAGGTGACTTGCTACTCAGTGGTAATCAGTCGGCAAGAGGAACTGGAAATGTTTGATGGCTCCACGCCTTATTTAATCCTATGGGTTATATTCTCAGTTTATCCCCTATTCATTTGTGATTTTGGGATTTGCTTGTTTGTATCTTCAACGGCCGTGAGGAAGTTGATGGTAAAGAATGCATTGCTGGACCTGGGCAAGTAGTTGGATTTGCCACATCCCTGCCGTGCATATGGTGGGTGGGTGAATGCGTCAGTAGATTTCTGACTGCTAGCAATCTCAGGGCCTAATTATTCCGTCGATGAAGTGGTCTTGAGACTGTTGCATTAACAGGAGTTTTCCTTCTGTTGCTTTTAGGTCATTGGCCCTACGATTATCCATGGATACGCGTGATGGCTGGCACATATCCCCTTCTCCGGAATCTAATTCCATAGAAGGGGGAACTGCAGATCTGCTAGGGTTGACAAGAAGGATCAGTGGCGTTGCAGTCAAGTATCTTCTCACTTACGTGGAAATTTGATGACGGAGTGTGGGACTGGGCGAAGTGTTAATGGAACGATGGATGAGGCGGCGGGAGTGAAGAGAGAATTGACTTAAGCCTACTTTTTCCTTTGGACATTTTTGACATTCCTTGCAATTTTCATCTTCCTTTTAGGACTCTGTACAAATGTGTCCTTGTGTGTGTGCGTCGCGACTTTTTAGTAGTTAAGTGACCTCAATATTTATGCTTCATTGCCGATATTGGGAGTCTTGTGAGGAAATGGTTGGGAGGGTTTGAGAAGTGATGTGCATGTAATGGGGATTGTCAGTTACGATACTTGAATTTGGAACTGGACTGGTTTCTCCTTGGATGCATCCACTAGTGGAAGCAATTACCTCTCCATCCACTGTACTACTGGATGGTGTTGAGTGTTTCATGAACAAGTAAAGCACTCTTTATTCCAACGATGCGGGTTCAAGTAATTGGTTTATTGGAAGCCATGGCCAGTAACTTGTCAGCCTTTACCCTTTTACACACCAATTTGAACACAATGAAAGGTGCTTTTAAAGCTTTTACCAGAATACATTGCAGTGTGCTGGATATATGGCAATGCCAGGCCCGGATTTTCCCCAATGATATGCAGAGCAGGTGGATACGCAAGCACTGACTTGAGTTTTGGTCGCAGTCGTGGCAAAGGGGCGAATTGAGTGAAGGTGCAGTAGCAAGTGTCAAAACGTCGTTAGTTGGACATTCAATAGGCACCGAAGGTCAAAGAATCTGAGCATATTTTGTCGACCGATTTGGCACGAGCCTTGTGCAAATCACATGCATAATGGAAGGCGATTAGTTGCCCTATGCTGTGCTGGCTATTTTTAATTTGCAGGTTTTATTCTGCGTGGGTTTTGGGCACACCGCTTTGAGCGAGGGTAATGTCACATGGTTAGGTAGGCGAGTTTGGTCTCAGGGATGAATGCAAGCACTCGCGATTATCCAACAGCACTACACAAGTCAACCCACCACCACGGGCCAATCCAAGTGTCTAAAGGAGTTGAAGTTGCGTACTCCAGGCTCTCCCATCGACTTTTGCGACTTATCGGTAGCCCTTCCCACTAGCATAATGAGGGAAATGAAACGTCCATCCCCCATCCAAGTATGCTAAATGGCCTGTGTGCGCTCACCGCACCATTGTGGAAACGAGAATTCACCATGATTACCGCGCAATCACTCATTTCCCCACATTACTTCCTTGAACGTTCTTTAAAATATCAATCCACCTCCGTTTTCCTGCAATGTAACCAGGTGACACTCAGAAAATGCTAGAGTTGTAGCATCAAAATGAATCGCCAAAAATGCCAAAACAGCCGCACATTAACTCAGAGATGATGCCAAAGAGCGGCATATGGTCCGCGTCAGATGGACTACTCGATGAGATTAAAGATGGCATAAAACCGACTGAATATTAGCATTGACAGCAAATGTAGCGTGCCAGGGCGTGCGTCTTCGTTCACACGCTCTCTAAACAGAGAACACTGGAGAGTAAATCTAGACAAGTCTGTAAAGTGGTTTACTGCAGGAGAAATGGGCCGTGACAGCAAACCATCACACAGTATGAATGCCTTGGAGAGAGCTGAGGACTTGCAAGTAATGATGGAACATCTCGCTTCATATCTTCTGCCGATAAAGCAAAAAAGTTGCAGAAGTAGATAAGCTCATCTTCGGGCACAAGATGAGAGGTTGGAATAGCCATGAAAGGCAGACACGTCAATCTACCAGTGACTTTGGCGTTCGGTCACCGAAGTCATTCCTAGGAGGTAAAATGAGCACAATAGCGTGAGTGGTGCGACGTCTCTTTTCATTTTGTGATCAGTAGTTGCAGCCACCTTTGGAATGTTCATTGGTGATGCTTATATTCTTCTGCACAGGCCCTTGCTGAGGATCCTTGGGACAATCCAGGAGACACACATACTTGTTTGCAACCAGGTTCTGCGTTGTCTTTACCCTTATTAATCTCTTCAAACCTCGCATTCTGTTCTCGTACTATCTGCTTCTCAATAGCTAATAGAGGAGATTGAACTCACCTCCTCGAATCCTATTAGCGCTGGCGTCTAGGTGGCTAAAATATGCATTGAACTAATCCACTCACGATGAGGTACTTGTACAGCTTCAGTGCAATGCTACTGACCATAAACTAATAAGATTTCTGCATTTGTAGGTATAGAATCGTTTTTTATGGAGGAAAAAGGGATGTGCCGTAAGTAGAATGTGGTAAAGGTATGATCCAATGCCACAGGGGACATGGAAATCTATTTGAGATGGGGCGAACTGAGTGGTTTCCAGCCTCACTTCTCCAGCGTGAAAGGAGTAAATAGGGTTAGTACCATCTGACACGCTCCAAATCGCCACCATGCAATCACTCATGTGATTGAAATGTCATGTCGTGTTGATGAGATGTCACAGGAATTGCACAGTCATGACGCGGTGGCATGACACAGACTTGAACACTGCTGAGCACAATTCACTGCCACCAATCATTTGTCAGCATTTTCGTCCAAACTACTATAAATATGCGCTGAGATAGACAGAAGACGGCAGTGAATCTGGTGTTAATGATGGTGTATGTATCACTCAAGTTGATAGAGAAACTGAGTGAGGGACCGTGGCAAGATCTTGGCTCATCCACGGATCTCGTTTCCTATCCGTCGTTCCGAAAGCTTCCCCTCTTCACTCATTGTGAACAAGGTCCGAGAGCAGATGGAATCAGACGAAGGCGTGTGCACAAGCAGTCAGCAAGTTTCCAACGCAATGGACCACGCACAAGGACTGCTCCTGCTTGCACCTTGCCCGTCACCGCCACTTCAGTCACGGCCATCGCGTATTCCCCTCACATCCTCGACTACATCCTCCCACCTGCCTTACCCCCACCTTCATCCTCTTCATCCCATGCCCCACCATCTGCGCCAAATGTCAGTGCGCCCAACTTCTCCTCCTCCTGCTCCTTCTCTCTGCAGTACTCACTGCTATCCCAAAACTTGCTTTCCAGCACCAAGCCGACCTATGCACCGGAGAAGGTCGCTGCGTCTTCCCAACTCAACTCGCCACTCGATGGTCCAGGAGACTTGCTCTATTTCACATTACCCCTTTCGCATTATGCCCCTATTGACTACCCCAATATACTTCCCAATTGTCTATCCACTCCAGCTTACTTCACCACAGCTTCCACCTGTCCCTTTGACGATTTCTCCTCCAAACCCTATAGTCCACAAATATGTGCGCGCCCGACGTGGATGGGAGAACGAAGTCGATTTCCATCCTGAGTGGTGGTGGTCGTGACTTTCGTTCAAATGTCTTCACTGTGGTACTCCATATCTGCCTTGGCTTTGTGTTTCAAGACTGCATGATCACTTGCTGCGAGATTGGTGCATTATATATTGTGTGCATACACAAAACCCAGTCTTCTTTTCTCTTTGGTACATGGGTTTAGAAATGAGGGTTGTTTGACACCTCTGTTCTTAGATCAGTGGTAATATTGCAATGTTGTGTGCTGGGAGAAAAAGTGGGCAGCGGTGTTTGATCAGTCACACAGGCAGTCCTCCCTTTCTTCTTTGGCATTGTAGTCAAGTAGTACTGTGGAAGTGGATTGCCCACCATAGACTGGGTGTGCAACCATAATTACTTCAAATTGATAGCTGGGTGGTCACACGTCACAGGAAAGTAGCGTGACATGATTTCAATATTTGGAGGAAATTGTTTGCATTAACTCAATGCAAACGCAGAAGATGAAGAGCTAAATAAAGAAATGTGTGCATTTTCAGAAATTGTGTCTCAGTTGCGAATTATTACTCATCTGCTTCTGTCGGTGTTTCAAGTTGGTGTGGTAGGTGGATAGTTGCGTGCAGAAATGGATGGATTAATGGATGGGGGGAGGGGGGGGGGAGGACTGTTGATGGACTGGAAGGCGTGTTCATCACTCATAAACACCTCGTTATTCATTTCTACTCTCTACATTGCCTCCGTTACTGTCATTTCCCATTCTTCTCTCCTTCTTACATTCTGTCCCAGCTTATTTTTGTGGTCCTATGCAATCTTTTCTTCTTTCTGACTCCGCTGCAATAGTTTAGCTACCGTCAATGTGATTTCTAGCACAAGCCAGTAGTTTATGCTCATTTACGCAAGCTTGAATAAACCAAACATTTGCATGGACATTTTGCGCCTCTGTGGATGAAACAAGACTGTGTCACCAGGTCTCACTCACTATCCTCCTTGTACATTTTAAAACCCTCTTACCCAAATTAAATGCAAGTCATATTAGAACTTGAAGCAATTTCTTCACTTTGGTGAATGCCGTCACTTATTTTACTTTAGTAGACTTTATCTCGGGCCAAAAACTACTGACATCATTGCAGCAAAGTATCAAAAGGATGGCAGCCATTAAAATTGGTTATTTATCGGCCTTTTGCTAGAAATCGTAAAACCAACATGCTACTCAAATTAATCCTGAAATAACCCTTTTTCGCATTTTGTGTTACAGATCACAGGTATCAAGATAGCAATGCAGAACAACTTCTCCACTCCTCACACCCCTCCCCTTCCCTCTTCCTCCCTTCTCTCCTCTCCCATCCTCAAAACCAATTTAGCTACAATTTCGTGAATAACTACTTCACTCCGATCAGGCGTCTTTCCCTGTAGCACAGGATATCCCACTTTGTTTTGCATTGCTCCGCTCTCTATTGTGTGCAGTTTTATAACCGCACTGTAAAAAGTGAATCGCAGGAGCTGCGAAAAAAGGCTAAGTTGACTGTACCTGCTTGATACAACAAGGCAAACCTCGCATCACGTCGATTCACATCAGGTGCCATCGGTATTTCGGAGTGTTGCAGACAAATGCACAGTTAGGAGTAATATAGTAAGCTACCCATTTTATTTAAAATGAACTTTGCCCTTCACTATAGGTGCGCTAAGCATTTATTCCCTTGTCTGTGTTTAGTGCTCCCCAACGCGCTGCTCTACCTTTCCTTTTATGAATATATACTCAATCATGTGCTATACGCACGAAATAGAAGACGGATTGTTGCACCTACTCTTGTTAGTTTTGTCCTAAGCAAAGGTCACTGTGTGCGTAGATTCCTCTCTTTGTATTAACAGTTATTAACTCATTTGGTGGATTTAGTAATGAGGCATTGCTACTTGTTTTTTAGGAATGCAGTTGCGCACCAATAAAATGCCCTTGCCACTAAGCAGTTCAGTTGGATTTCTACCTGGAAAAGGAGAGCTCTATAGATACATCTGATGGCCATTTTATAAGACTTCAGAAAATGCTTTACTCGATTATGCGCACAAATCGGACGATTTTGGCATCGCCGTCACAAGCCTTGCTAGAGACAACTATCATAAGAGCAGCCACGAACTGTGGAACAGCCGAAGTCCTTGTTGAATGCGCTTGGAAAGAAGGAGAGGCGAATAATTTATGGCTGATTGAGAGATGGTAATATTTCTGAGAAGGTCTTTGGCAGTGTCCAGTGGTGTCCTTCTTATTTAGATGACATTAAAAAAGGAACGTGAAGAATTGAAGGTGATTTTGCATTTGCACTAACATTAATGTTTAGTCCAAGCATCATTTACTTTAACAAATCTCCTAACTTGCATTGGAACTCCTCCCGAAATACGCATACTTCCAAGCATAGTTAATCTCATACCTCGAGTCGTCAGTCTAGGTTGAAGCATTAACTTACAAGCTCATCTTGCATCGTTGCGCAACGGACATAGTTTGCAGGAAGGAGCTTGGCTCTTGAGTTGCTCAAGTCCTGACGAACATCTGCATTGTGGTGTATGCAGGGAGGCTATCCTTTACTTTTCCTAACATTTCTCCACCTAGATATTTTTTCCTTGATGCCATCTGATCATTTTGTCTATATTGGCCTTAAAAATTGGCTTATAGGTATCGCTGGGAAACAGTCAATACCCGCATGAGTGGATTGGTATTTTTACACCAGGATGGGTTAAAGACCGCAAATAGTGTTTCTTTTCTTACCCCTTACAAAATTTTTTACAAGCATCTGGGACATCTACCCGTCAATAATCGGTGCGTCGCTACTGCAAACATGCCCAAAAACGGATTAAAAGTGCGTCTGTCTTTAACCAGATAGCACTCATCAGCAACTGACTTACTAAAGCCCAGTCAGTAGTTGGTCCATTACTAGATTCGCTACGAAGCATGGATGTAACATGATAGGTAGTAAGCATGCCTGGTTTGTTGTGCTCTGTGTGAGGATATGGGGAATGGCTACATTAGCTATTAGATGTCAACAGGGCCTACTGTTACCAGCCCTTAATCAGTCACACAAGTGAGTATTTCACGATATCTGTGTTTGGCCTTCACAGCTACGCAAAGAAAATATCAAACCTTATCAGCTGCTCGTCAAATGTCGCAAAGTTTGCCGGTAAGTCACGTGCAAATAGGAAAGGGCTTCTACAATGCTAAGTTGAGCGAACAAACATTTCGTCTCTTGTCTCAAAAAACACGCGACCCCCCATCCTCTCTGCACTTCCGCGGTGCCCACCATCACATATGGTCTAACTTGCGCGAATGAGGCAGGATTCAGACTCTATTTTTACAATGGTTCTTTTGGGGGTCAATAAATGGTGAGGGAAATGTCCCCTCAGAGACCCAAAGTGGTTTCAGAGAGAGCTCATTTTTATAAGTGGACGTGACTAGTCAATCACCTGGAAGGATGCCATATTCTTGCAAGACATCACACGTCCTCATGCAACAAACTGCACAACCGATTGCATCATACTTGGCCTGTTAATTTAATCCAAGTGAGGATCGTCTCTTCGTGACATTAGACAGTCGTAGCCGGGATCGAATAAACAACTCGGGCATAAACTAGATAGACTCGAGCTACCCTTTCGTTGATATCCAGCAGTAAATCCATGGTCAAAATTGAAACATTCTAGCTTATGCCTTTCCAAAAAAACCACATAGCATTTAATTCTTCTTCATTACTTTTGTATATTAAGAGTAATACCGTGGAGACTTATTTCGTTACCCTTTACTTTTAACAGTTCCTGTGAACAACGCTAAAGTTCTCAACCTGCTACTCGCCTGATGAATTTGCTCTGACCAAGATCCACCCAGTCAATTGCACGGAATGACCGAATGTTTAGTTGTTTGGCTCTTCTAATCCACATTCCGTTGGATGAGGGTCGCCAGCGTGTAATAGATGCAACCTCGAGGTCGCAACTACTGCGTCAGCAGTGTCGGGAACCAGATAAGCAGGTGCTTGCATTAGTAACTGAAAGGGTTTACTGTTTCGGTTGATTATTCTAATGAGGCAGTGAGCAAGCAGAGAATATAGTTTTCTGTCGTTTTTGATGATATAACTGTCCCATGGTACCGGATTAGTAACGCTGAAAGCATTGTAGCACATTGAGACCTTTCCGAAGGCGAAAGGAAAAATTTCGTAATCCTAGGACTGAGTATGTATTGACCACGTGGGGAAGAATTGAAGGAGGGTCAAGTGGCATGACTCGGAACCCATTCTACCCCGTGAACTGCGAACGTGGAGCCTTAAAAGCACATCATGCCAAAATGAAGCGTTGAAATCTATTCTAATTACCCAAATATACATCCCGTTGCGAAGTGCTATTGAGGTGAGAGGCTGATTCAAGTGGAAGATGCTGGTTGACCTTCAATTTGAATACCATTTATAATGGAAAAAGCGGAATCTGTTAAATTTGTCTCAAGCTACTCAACTCTTCCTTCCCAAAAAAGGCGTCGCTACTTATAAACTAATAAAGATTTCGTCTTTATTTGCAAAGAGCCATCACTTGTCGTAGATATCGTTATGCGATAGTAGCAGGTTAGCTGAAAAGCCATATTTCTGTAAACCTCTCGAAACTGTTCAATTATTGTAGCTGATGAGTGCTGCACTTAGGAGGCAAATATGTTGTGTGGTGATTTGCTTGAAAAACACTCATTTAATTCGAGGTCTATGTGACAAAAGAGCATAAATAGATTAGGGTCGTCTTACTGCATGAGGCCCATAGAAAACTCGGCTCCATAGCCACACGCTATATGACAAAATGGCCATGAAAATCCCATTGTTAAATTACATAACAATTCACTGTCCAATGTCACTTTTCCTTGTTCGGATTCAACCATTCAACAGTGGATTACTCGTATGTTAAAATGAGAGCGAACCTAGGAGAGGGTTATATATTTTGCTCGGCAATGAATTACGTACGCTATAAGTATCCTACGAACCAGTGGTGCTGAAGTACGTCGATTGCTCTTCCTCGACACTTTGGCCTTCTCATCGATATTGAGATAGATGCTAATGTAAACTCCCGCTATGTACGACTGGAAGGGCCACACAGTCTTGCTGGCTTGCAACGGCATGTGGAAGAGCGTTGGCTATTTTTGGGGCAGCATTGATTGACTCATTGCCGTATGACCTAAGGGGCTTCATTGACCCCTCATTTCTCCCCTACTGACATACCTCCTGTGAGATGGCTACCCAGATTTCACGCCTTCTAATTTACTAGATTTTCACTAAAGAGGGTTGGACTTCCTTCTGATGATCGACCAAGATTCATATCCTGGTTACTGCTTATGGTAAATCGGTGCTGGCAATGAAATTTTTGCTAATTGTCAAAATGTAGTGGGGATTTCAAATGCACTCAGCTCCAATACTTAATCAAAGCTGTTTTGCTGGTAATGAGAAATGAGACCCTTTCGAGTGGACGAACCTAAATGACCCGAATTTTTGAAGGCACTGCCTTAACCATAGCAGCAGGTACTTTTTCATTCTTCATTTTTAACCACTGCTTCTATGCTTGTTGACTTGTCTACATTTCCAAATACATGTTTTTTCATTTTTTTGTCTTAAGTTATTTTTCACTTTGCCTTTGAAATGGCGTATTTGTAAAAAGCGGATAATTTAAAAGGTAACTAATAGAGCCATAGAAATTGTGCGCATGCTACTTATTTGCAAATTAGACCTCAACTAGCAGACGCTGTTCCTAATTCTTCCTCAAAGTGCTAATCAAACTTGGTTTCTCATTCTAATTGTTTTTTTTTAGTATCTCGGCTTTCCTATAATTGAATGCCATAAGTTATCTAATCTGCCTCGAATCCAATACGTGTCTACTTTTCGTCCCTTCTCTTTCCTTTTCTTTTGGTGGCGTACATAGCTGTTGGCTGGTACCATCTTCACCACATCACTTTAAAGACGAAAAGGCAATGCCAAGGCAGACTATGTGTTGTCAATTTATAGTTTTGGCCAAGGGTTACAGACTTGGCCATGTGACCATACCGCTCAGCAGATGTACAGCGCCGGTCATCACAACGTGGCTGAGGCTGCAAGGAACAACACCCACAAACAAGAAGCACCAGCCATCGAATTGGCGTGCATCTGAGAGGATATCTAATTGTCACTTTACCACTCCATCTTGGCAATTCTACTAGGTCTATTTGTCGTCGTGTTTTGTAACTGTATCGAAGAAAGTGGAAATGTGGCGTTCATCTAGTCTGTCCACCTCCATTAGTAAGAACACAGGTCTGAAACTAGAACCATTTAAATGTAGAGATGTGATTTGACACAATGGGCAGATGATCGTCTTTTCAACGTAGCAAGAACCCCATTTTCCATGGACTTGAATGACCTTAAGAAAAAGGTCATCTATTGGTGGATAATGGAGCCCATTTGAGGCCACTCTCTACTTCATTTAAATCTGAATGCGACCTTAGATCCTAAACCCCGAAAGTTGTCACCCCGTGTCGGATTAAAGTTGACATTTGAGTTTTAACGATGGAGTTTTCCATTTCTATCGCCTCAGCTACTCAAAATACACAAATGAATAGCACTGAATGCTTGTACTTCTGCAGACAAAATAATAAATCGCTTGAGGGGAATTGCGCAGGAAAAACATGGGCAACATGTTCGGTGCTTGACCTTCTGCCAAAAAATCCATCACCTTCCTCAACCATTCCTTCGTCATTTCATTATCATAGTCCAACTTCAAATGGTAGAACCCAGATGGACTTGTGTTAAGTCTTGGATACTGCGTACGGGAGTCGGGTCGATTAGCGCAGCATGAAGCTGCCTTTAGAGGATCATGACGAAAGGTAGAAAAGTTGATCAGACATGTTTTATGTGTCGATGTTAAGCTATGATCAAGCAATTTATTCAATTCAGGCGGGTATTACAAGAGGTGAACAGCTTTTCTTCGCTGGGTAGAGGTTCGTCATGACATATCCATGCTATGCATAGCCTTCAGTGGTAGAGATGGGAGACTACATTGCACCGTTGGAAAAGGCAAGGGCGAGCAATCTTCTTGATAAATGAAGAAGTTTTTCTTGATTGCCGTACAGGACCGCATTTACCCTTAATGATAATTTGGAAATGGAAGAATATTGAAAAGCTGACGAAACAACTGAAAATGTGACATCCCATCAACCTTTGATTGGTTAAAGCTTGGATATTTCAAACATGATACGTGTGTGAGTGAGTGGACTCTGCAGAGCGCATGACCTGAAACCTTTCAAGTTTTAATCTGATTCGTGTAGCAAATGGAGATCAGTCGCCATCAACTTGTTCGAACGTATATGCACCCAGAACTGACCAACCATTCATTATGACTAGATGGTTGCATCTGTCACGGAGTCCTAGCACCCGGCTATGTGCGATTCTGATGTGCTCTAAAGCTTGGAAAAGGGTGATACCAAAACATTCCCTCACAGAATATGAATAAAGGACTTTCAAGAAGCCAAAGAAATTCGTTTGAATAGCTTCTTTCGATAAGGCTTTTATTTTACTCATTAAAATCCGTGTTTCCTGATTTTATGGGCTGCTCCAATGGGAACTTTAGAAGATGCATGATTTAAAGGCCACTATGATAAGACAAATGTCTGCAAAGGAACCATTATCAAAACTAATCTCCAGAAATATAAAACAGTAAGACACATTGCAGTCACAGTCACTAATGAAAGACATGGAGATTTATTCTGCAGAAGCTTCATATAGAAATCGGATAACTTGCTTTGACATCTCCTCCTTTTTGCTTTCTTCTGATTTTTCAATGTTTTCGCCTTCATCGTCCTTTTTTGCTTCTTTATTACCACCAAGCTGAATTTGGAGAAAATCCGCCAGCGCCTTAAGTAGCTGCTTTTGCTTTGACATTTCGTCTTGCTGTGAAGACGCCTGTTTCGACGGTGATAATGAAGTTGACGCTGATTGTTGAGGTTTGTGTTGCGGTTGAGAACTTTCACAATTTCCGAGGCTTTCACTACGGCGAATATCTGTTGAGTTAGTTGGTGGAGGATCCTTTGCTATGGCACGAATCTTTGGCTGTGTTACAGACGTCTCATCATCTGGAATGTACTCACCAGCCCTCTTCGTCTTGTAGCGGTGATTCTGGAACCATATCTTGACCTAACAGAAATAGGCAAAAATAAAATCATAACACTGTCAAGTTGTGATGACTTATTCATGTACACTCAATCACTACACATTATTAGTTACTTATCACGCAAATTTTTTAACACCTATTGCTTGACGAACCTGGGTCGGCGTCAAGTTAATTTGACGCGCGATTTCTTCGCGTTCCTCTGCACTGATATAGCGCTGCTTTTCAAATCGTTTAACCATCTCATTGATTTGGAATGTGCTAAAGAGAACCCGACGTCTGCCTTGTTTCTGTGCTTCGGAGTCCATCTCCCTTTCCTTCTGCTGTTCTGCTGATGGGGTGAAGACGTTCCCTGAATTGGGAATAGAAGTTGCGGCAGCAAGCTGCTGTAAAAGAAAGTAATTTGGGAGTGAGAGGAGGTTTGATGGAAGTTGATGACAAGCTTTTGGTGATGGGATCGGTTCCTGCGGCAACGGTTGCAAGAGTTGCTGACGTAACTTTGAGGTAGTGTCAAGTAGGAGAGGGTTCGGCGTTTGAAAGAGCGGCAACATGTTTGCAGTTTGGAGTTCATTTAATTTTTCACTTTGACGTGTTGATGAAGAAGACAAGTCCATGCAGGATTGCTGATGTAGCAGAGGATTCGGAGTGCTTGTCAAGATCGGGCTTCGTGGGGGAAATACTGGTAGTGCCGCCAGGATATCCTGTTCCTCAGACGTAGTCTCTGTATTCCTCTGATGTTTTACTGGAGAGGGATTCATTTGCAATTGCTTTTCTTTATCAACATTTTGTGGAGAGTGCAGAAGGAGAGAACTGGACCCGGGAAATATTGGAGGTTGGGATATGCGAGAGTCTGCCTGTGCTGCTTCTTGTGGTGCAGGAGGTATCGCATGCTCCATTTGTTGTTGCAGGGCCGGCAACAACGATAATAATGGTAAGGGTAGGGACTCTAAGTTTGCGCCTCCGCTGGGGAGAAGTCGGTTCCTCGTATTTAATGCACCTATAAAAACAAAACGACTTAAATATGGATAGATGTGTCTCTATGTGACTAAATGTTACCTCCTCATTTATATGGGTCAAGGACTTACTCAGGTCGAATGTGGAACTATGTGTATCCAATTGGATCCTGCCTGACCCCACCCCTATCGGCGCTACTGTGAACACGTGGTCGTAGGTATGGCTACATGACGGTTAAATAACCACCCCACTAATGAGTAGGTAATCATAAAAAGTTTCCAAATGTCAACTCTGCTGGACTCGTTCTCGAAAATGTGCAACTGATTAGGGAACTTCTTCTATAGTGAACATACCAGGCTTGCTACTTTGACTACTTGAAATGACAGTTCAACAGATAAAAAATGAGTCTATCTACAACTAACGGCAACTATGAAATTCGAAACGGGAATAAAAGTCCAAAGGCTTAGGATAAAAGATGAACAAAAAGTGAAGTAGATAAAGTGATAAATTAATATGATAGGCAATACCGTTGATTGGAAGCATTGGCAGGCATGGAAGTCCACATTGCGTTAACTGTTCGGTATCGGGAAGACCCAAAATATTTTGCACCGTGAAGTTGGACATGACGAGAGTATGACCACACGGTTTTCTTATTTCTTTAACTGAGGTAATTGGCCTATTTATAAACTGATGCGGCCAATAAAAACTACTTGTGGAGGTTTGTCCAATAAGAATGGAGCTTTACTCGATCACATCCAATTGCTTTGAGGGGGGGAGTACGTGATTTTTTCAGAACCTTTTAATCATACCTCTGTAATTTGATACAAAATTTGCTTCCACTTTGCTTCTCCTTTCTTTTTGTCCCATGGACTCGTTAGGAATAACCTACTTACCCAGTCCACATTTATGAAGTCGCCCCGCAAGCCAAAACGAATGGTGATTGTAGGGTGGGTCATTAACAAATGCACTCATTAATGAATTGAATTTGAAGTTGATAACTTTTTCAAACTGTCACTCTGACGGAGTGAATATTTTGTTGATAATGAATGAGCCCTAATTGAACCGTCTATTTACGGTACTGCAATCTTTTGGACTCTTCTATGAGATCTTTGTTGACAAAATGTTGAATTTTTCTCGAAATGGTAAAAAGAGATAAATAAGGCTCTAAAAACCCCTATTTTACATTACCTATGCTTCACTGATACGCGTCTTAAATAACTCATGGTGGTTTTGGTTTTTTTGGTAATTAGAACGAGAAGCTACGTTTTGTGATCTGTGCCACATGCAGTATAGACTGCTAGAATTATAAACTACAAAATACAAAACCATTAGGGCTTTTACATGAGATCTTGACATTGGATTGCCAAATTTATTGTGTGCTATCTTACAATACTAATTTACACGGCTTAAGATGATGATTTGTAGCTGCTTGATGAGAACGGCCTTTTAAGGAGCTGTTGTAAAAACCATGAGAGAAGTACTGAAGTCATTCAACGCAATAACGTAGTTAGAATACACTTAGATTTAATACCCATCAATCAAAAAGGTATATTTCATTACATTGGTTGAATTTTTAAATATTAACTGTGGTTCTTTTCATAATGTCAAATTTCTATACCTGTGAGAAAAGCAGAAGGGAGAATCGGAAGATGTATGATAATACCTTGCTTTTAAACATACAATGGGTCTATTTTGCTCTACTAAGGAAAGAATATATAATTTGGATGGGGGATTCTGAATGCAAAGAAAAAGGAAAGGGGGGGGGGGGAGAACCTTAAAGCTACAAAAAACTTATCCAGTCATAATCTAATACATATATAGCTTTATTTGTGATTTGTGCAAAATCATCCCGCTATAAAAAGGTGCAAACACAAAACTAGCAATGCATTCTTTGTTAATTAGATCCATTTTTACATAGAAGTACGTTTGAATATGCTAGGGGACCAATTTAGGGTAGTTTCCCCATTAAACTCAAGGGCATGTTTGTGTGTGGGTGTCTGGGATGGGAGGCTCATCTTTGTTCGATGGGGCAACTCAGTGCTCACCTCCCAGTCTTAAATCCCAAAAATACCCGTATTCTTGGGAAATTCTTAAAGGTAATTCCTTAAATGATAAAATCTTTAGGCTGGAAGTAATATCATCTTGGATTTCAGTTTGACGAGGTTACCATCCTGGTAACTGGGTCCATCTAAAGACAAATCTATTCCCATTTGGTCACATTTTATGGTAATTAATGTATTTCATGGGTTGTGTTTTCTCCCTCCTTTCACTTATACTGTTTTATTGGATCAGTCTTTAGCTGTTTCTGTTATTTTTCATCTTTGATGCGTTTAACAGCTGCATCCCGTAAATTCTGCTGCTCAGTTCCAGCTTAAGTTACTTTATTTGCAATACGTCAAAACCTAATCCTACGCAGTTCTTTTAGAAAGCCAAATCCATTTTCTACTAGTAAACCAAATAGGCGTCACTCTTGCTCTACTTGTAATAGATTTTTATAAAATTTCGCACCTTCTGACCAAACGCGTTTTTTGACTACATGTTGACCGATGAAGGTATCATGGCCCGTGGCATCATGACCCCCTTTTTCAGAATATACTATTTACTATCGAAGAAGTGATGAAATCCTGCAGCGTGATCCCCCCAACGAGTAGCTCCGCAATTCGTGAGCTTATTGTTTCATTTCGGGAGGGTGAAGGGCAACCACCACACTATAACATTCCTAGGTAGTAATCCCGACGCCCTACCAAGTGCCGGAATCAAATTAACATAGCACTTCTTCATTGATCAAGCCCAGGCCTCAAATTCACTTCAAGAAAAAGGAAAGCACTCCACTAACATTAAATGATGAGTGTATTTTCCTGGAAGAAGAGTAAAATTGACAGAGAATAAAAGAATAAGCAGAGGAGTAGAGGAAAGGAGGGAGGTGAGGAGCCAAATCGAAAGAAGTGCGATGGGCCTAGGCATCGCTCTCTACTATACCATCTTTCCAAATGGAGAAAAAGAAACGAATTGTTTCGAAAGGCGGCATCTGAAGATCTGGATGAGGGGGATGTGAAGGAAGCTTTTCTCTACTTTACTTGCAACTCCTCTTCGTACTGCTTGCGGAAACAATTACCGATTGGGAAGAAGTCCAGACAGCGTTGTTGATAGAGCTCCCATACGTAAGTCTCCTAAAAAAACCACAAGGATTGTCAATCATGTTGAAACACTTAACTGCCCTCAAGGACGTCGTGGCATGATTAACTGACAGACATGACGTTGACACGTAATCATGTTTTCAGCATGAGATGACTATTGATTGTCATACGACCTGAATCCATGTTATCACGATGTTAGTGATAACTAAAGCCTACAAATCCGTCCAAAGATTTGGGCGGTCATTTACTACAAGATTCTAAGCCTGAATGACAGCGACTTAATCAATGCCATCACACATAGGCAGATAATGAACTACCCACCCTGAAGCTCTACGCAATCAGAGCTAAAAAGTTGTGAAATTTCTCTCCATATTTTCACCATTTTTAACGCATAGCATCGGACACTCCCGAGTTCATGACACAGCGGTCAGTCATGCGAGTCACAGTCACCAATATAACACCTCCAGCGTGAGCACATGACACGCATTTGCGCAAAGCAAAGCGCATAAAAAACCACAAAACAACAACTTTACAAGTGTAAACCCACCTGACCGGTGAACTCGGTGTCGGGTTTGTTGATGATATGCATGAGGAAGTACCTACAAAAGATAAATGTACATTTACACAATTTGGTGAGTAGAGAGACGCACGCCATTCCATGCGTCGCTTGACACGGAAAGGTAAAAGGATTTGCCACGTGATGGAACAGAATAATTCAAAACCCACCCGATTGATGGAAAGTATAAAAATTATCTACTGATGGGGTACATGACTAATGACACTTTAGAGTGCGAGACAATCACTGTCAACACCCCTTCACAACTTCGATGTCAATTAGGCAGGGAGAACTGAAACTTCCTCCAATTAAAAGGTGTTAGCTGGTAGATCATAGTGATAGTCATGATGACGTGGAGCTGAAAGGGATTAGACTGAAAAAGTGGTCTGATTGTCGCGCGTTGGAAACCACGCATTCGGCCGACTTTAAATCCTTTTCAATTCTCAAATCTGTCAATCCATGAGTAAAAGAAACCTACATGTAGTTGGCGAAGTTGTGTTCTCGTTCCACGTGTCTATCAAAGCCGTGTGGAGTCGCATCAAAGTACTCCTTCCCGATGCCACAGATGAAGCACTTGGATTCCAAGTCCTCCCGCACCTGCTCTAATTGATCTCTCAGGTCACCAAAGGCGTCGATGATTAGACCTGTAGAAAATGGAGGGCAAATTCATGAACCCAACTTCAAAAAATTGGCAAATTTCTAATTGAAAAAAGTGAAATTTGTCGCTTTCATACGAATATTATTCAAGGGCTCTAATCATCATCAATTCGGAGTCAAAACTGATTACAATTTAGGCTTTATTGTCATTTCCGCAAACTCTTCAAATTGCGCAGTTTCGACCATCAACCTTTCCGCTGACGTTACTTCTGTGTTAGCAGACTGTCAATCCGTCTACACATACGTAAAGGTTCTACTTGAAATCATGTAAGTCACACTACAGTAGTAGTAAAAACCAAACTCGAAACACGCAACAATCACTATTTCGTCTGCTGGATCCTAAACCAAACCCTAACATGAGAGTCTCGAATGCCGACGGATGAAAATGGGCAAATTAATTCCGAAAGGGTCAGTGGATTCGTTCTTGGAACAGATTCAAACACCATACTCCATGTAGTCGGTCTGATTCTCAGCACATCACGTTGGTACTCATCTGTGAACGAGCAACTATCAAGTCTCTCAGAGAGGTGAAGGGAAACCTACCCGAAATCAACCAGCCAAACCGATGCATCAAGTGGGTTTCGATGGAAAATATCAACAGAGTTTAGGACACACCTAAAATTACTTGGATGCCAGAATCCATGCCAAATAGCGATTCGCTACGGCAAGGCATCGTTTTAACCAGCTCAGCCGTCCATAAGATCCAGACGAACAGGCCTAAACACTCTTAATTGTAAAGGACATGTTTGATTCATGCATACTTTCTTGAGGTGAAATCTTCACAATTCTTGTAGTACCAAAGCAGAAGAAAACAACTTTTGGCATAATTTCTAAATAAAATGACTTTAATTGCCTCGTGAAAATGAGACTCAATGGACAATTTTCCACTCAATTAAACTGTGCGATTGAAGCCAAAACTCCAATTCCACATGAGATAAGCAATTATTTGGTAGATAAGAAACAGAACAAGACATCCAGCAGGTTTGACCACAACCATCAAAGTGGATATGGAGGTCGGGAAAGACGTTTTATGTGCCTTATGGATGAATCGGTGATGAATTCGTGGAAAAAAAAAACGAGAAAATCCCACTTAGTTTAGATAGACAGCAAAGCCTTAATAAGGCAGGAGAACTCGAATCTGTTGATCTAAGAAAATTGTCAAAACTTCAACGACTTAACATTTCAAGCATTACGAAACTCCTAAAAATCTCATTGATCGACTCCAACCAAGGTCCTTGCTATCATGAGCTACCAAGAAAAGTCAGGACACACAAACCTTGAATGATCGCCAGGAGGATTATTATGACAAAGAAGAAGAATGACATGTCAAAGATGATCCGAAGCGCTTCATGTGCATCTCCATCGGGTGGTTCAATTTCATCCCCGATTCCACCACCCGCTCGCAGACCCGTGTGCAAGTGGAAGACGAAGCACTGGAAGATAAAAAGAGAAGCAGAGTAAATAATGTTCGTTATGTCTATGGGAGTAATAAAAACGAGAGGGAGGATAACCAAATTACTCACAGTGAGCATGTCATTACACTTGTATTCCTTCTCCCCATCCTCCTCCTTGGTGTAGAATTTGCGGAAGAAGTTGAATGCGATGACGGTGTAAAGGTAGATTACAATCGAAGTCAACATGACCGTCAAAACCAGCTAAAACAGGCAAATTTTTGTTTCGTTAATAGATATCTAAATTAGGGTTTCAACTCCTACGAGGGACTAAAAGAGTGAAGGCAATAGCAGATCTTCAAGTACTTTCAAGTTGGGTTTCTTTGATGCAGAGACTTTCACACTCAGTACTTTGTCGCGTCAGCAGCTGACCAGATTCAACTTTTACCCCTTAGTTGAGCTATTCCAGCATGAAATGTCAAAAAATTAATACCGAGTAGAAATGAGGCATTATTAACTAGCAAACCAGGAGCCAAATTTCAACATTGACAGCGAATCTTCCAGATTTTTTGGCTGCAGGAAGATACGGATGATAAGGATCTCGGTCCACCTTTCAGCCATTGGTAGCATCAATCTCAGTCTGTGATCACGGATAATGTCCTGCAAATCTCAAATTGAAGTAAACATTGAAGTCTCAGACAGAGATTTTAAAATGGCTTAGTTCTTTGGTCACGCGTTCTTCAATTTATCCAACATCATAGCTACAGAGCAGCCAAACACACTTCGGTCAAAGTCACATACGCATGGATGGATTTGCACCATCAGGCAGTGACCCCGCCACGTCGGATCGGTAAGCGAGTTTTGAGCACGAAACTCACGTTAAATCTGGGTCATCTACTACACTCACACCCCGTGAAAGCGGTGTGACAATCTCGGACGGGGTATTCTGCAGTAAAACCACCCAAAATATCACGTGTTCATTGCACTTGGGGTGATAGATTGAAAGCAGTAGATTTCGCTACGACCAATTTCAACGGAGTTGAACCTCGTGGACAGGTACGTTGGAGAGCTACGGAATACCCTCCTCCAAAACAATTTAACCAATCATTACCTCCTCCGACTCTTCAGCGAAACAAGCATATAATTATTTGAAACAGTAATTTAAAGGTTTAATAAACAACTTCACTTAAATGAATTTGTCTATGCTAATGGCTACTTAAATGAAATAAAGCTACTCAATGTTGCTCGCAAAGGCTGTACAGGAAATGCGTCCATGTTGATTAAGCAGTAATAATCTATTTTTATTATTTTTTACACATCGAAGAAAAAACACCTCAAAATAGCTGGAATCTCACAAAACAGTCATCTCTGCATGATGGGTGAGCAAAATGGCGTATCGGTCATGACCTCCACTAGACCATTACGAGATCTAGCGAGCCATTAGAATGCAGAAAAGTGTGACCTACCTGTTTTCCATTGTGTGTAACCGATTGTACAATGGTTGCTAGCGTTTTGAAGGAAATAGCCACATCCAACAGGTGACATGAGAAGAAGAAGTAGTTTGCATTTCCCAGCAGAGAAACAATGAAGTAGACCACGAGGTATAGGAACGACTGAATGGAAGAATATGGGAGGATAATCGCATCTATGTAGAGCAATTCTAAAATCACTTAAAAACATACATTATCCGTGAAGATGACACCCCACTTCCAAAGCAGGTATTGTAGATCCATCTCCTGAAGCCATGTTGGATGGAACCAACTATCCGAGGCCTCCTCGGGACGTCCACCCGAAGTGATTCCACTGCTACCTCCGTTGTTGCTAACAGTTTTCATTCCAAGAAGTCGCCTTATCTGCTGTTTATCGTATTGCTCCCCATACTTTTTGAGGACTTTCTTCTTGACAAACTTGTCCCAGTACATGTGAGGAAAGCTGGGAGTAGAAAGAACCAATTTATCCCACTGGGCTCTTAGCTTCTCATCAGAAGGCTGTTCAGCTATCCAGATGCCTTCGAATTCGAGCATTCGGGATATTTCCTTCTCACGCTTAAATATAACCAGCGGAACCTAGCGAAGAGATTCAGTAAAATTTGAGAAAACGCTTGAGAATCCACCGATAATTTCACTGTTTGATTACTCACTTTCAAAAAGTAGTAAGCAACAAGCATGCTCAAGGAGAGAATTGAGTGAGCAATGGCGAGTATCTTTAGCAGTGGACCCAAATATGCAGCCGATTCTGCTAACGTAATCCACTCCTCTTCCTCCCCTGGTCCGACATCGGTTTCGGTGTCTTGAAGGGAGTCCGCGATGTTGGAGACAGTGTCAGTAATTGTTGTGACAAAAGTGGCGCCAAATGCAGACTCCTCGCCCGTCCCTTCCACACCGACTCCTCGTTTTTCGATCTAATGATAGAAACCCTATTTAACAGAATTTTAAAGAAGGATGAATTTTAAGATGGTCAACGGAACCGGCATTCACCTTGTAGAAGAGGAGGAGGAGGTTAATTATGAAGGCAAGGATGAGGGCATTCAATTTGAAACGATAAAAATTGCGTGCAAAAATCGAGATAAGGAAAGTGGAGGTTGGAATAGGCTTCTGTTCCACAACTACGGGCTCCTCCACGCCTTCGCGCTCCACTGTTTGCGGACTTGATCCTAAAGTAAAGATAAGTAGTACGGATAATTCATGTAAACCTGCAAAGTCGTCAGATAGTCAATAATTATATGAAACCCCATGAAAAGGCAAAATCGCGAAAAGGTACCAATTTGCAACCTACTACTGAAATTACTAATAAGTATGCTGATGAATGAGATACCCTAGACGCAGGCACAAGCGCATACGTTTATTCCAGATTGTAAGGTCGGAGAAAGTTTTCTTCAGACAGTAGCAGATTTTATTAAGGAAAACACTTAATGAATCCCACTTTTAGATGTATCTTTTCAGTTGGTACATTCAGGTCTTGAAGATCGGAACTCTTCAGGAGGAAGTAGCACCTCCAAAACTTGTGCTTTCCTTTCTGAGGGGGGAAGAATTTATGCCAGACTTTCTATTAAGATTCTCACGAGAACAATTGATTCTTTTTATTTTAAAGACAACTTAGGCCGCCGACTTGAAAAATGACTGCAGCTTACCGATTGTCACCATTAAAAAAAACTTGTAATGGCAGAGAGGACATGGAAAGCGCAAAACGGGCGTACTTATACTTTGTGCCTGTTTACCGACTGAAGTGGTATTCTTTTGTCGTCCGGCATTCGAATGACTGCTGCTAGGAGTGGTTGACGTCTTTGGGGTGTTTCCCGTGAAGGCTTCCACTTTTGAGGAGTCCACACGTTCCAACAGTAGTTGTTCCTCCTCCGACAAAAGCCAGCATTCCTTTTCCTAGAAGCAATCATGAAAAAGAGCAGTAGATTGTCAGATGAAAAGTATGTTAGGGCCCCTTAAGCGACTAAAAACTTGTATACCAGATTGGAATATGCAGAAAGTGGCCATTTCCATAACTCGGAATGGGTGACTTAAAGTAGGCAAATGACAAACTGGGAGAAGATTGAAGAATTTAGGAATAGCAAGCAGAGAAGGGCACGAAACCCTTGAGTCATGAATCAAAGAAAAGTTCAGGCAGAAAAAATGGTGCGATTATTTTTGGGGGCAGTTATTTGATGAGTAGATGCATGGAACAAAGTAAATTAACATTTTCCGAACAAAATTGCGAATTTACGTAGAAGTACTCCAAGAAGCGGCTGGAGGGGAATGAACCATTGGGGACCAGAGCCTCCAAATTCGCCCACACAAAGTGGAGGAAGACGCAGCAATATTCAAACAACAGGGGGAATGTTGGATAAACAAGTAATGCAAATAATAAATCAAGTGAACGGATTAAATTCAACTCAAGAAAATGTAAAAAATCTTATAAAATTGGAAAAAATGAAGGTCTGGACATTTGAAAATGCCTAGAGAAGTCAAATCTAGCGGAAAAGCTCATAGTTTTTCCTAAGGAAAATAAAACTTAGAGAAGAATGTTACCAATTCAGAAAAATTTTGAAAGAGGTTTTCCTTATTGCTAAACTCTCGGGAAAATAGATTTTGACTAAGTGTGAACTAGGGATTTTGATTCAAAGAAATAAACACCCCAGTAAAAAAATCCCAGTTCTAGATTTAATGCTTAAAATCAAAAAAATATTTTAAAGATCACCCGATATATTTTTCTGACGAATTCCACAGATGCTTGCAAATGTATTAACAGATTAACAAAATAGGCTACTGAACAGAAATTCAATAGATAATCCAGTAACAAGGGCGTTAGTATTCAATTACAATTTATGCTACCTAATGTGTCTTGGAGTTATTTTTTTTAAGTGGTAAATATGGTTAGCTTGTAACTCTTACTTCCTCATTCATTTTGCACCAGTTAATGGTAGTTGCCTTGCATCAATGGTAGTAACAAATAATAATTAGGTCCGGAGTTTATAATGACTTCATAAAGTCCGGAGCATGAAACGGTTTCCAGAACCCCAATAGGCATCCTTTAAGTTGACCACTACAGAGATGCAAAAGTCAAAAAGTCGGCAACAAATCGGTAGAATCTGTAGCTAGGGCAAAACAATGCGTGGTAGTGTGATGCTTAGTTCGTAGAAATGCCGTGCAAAATTTTATGCAAAATTCACATACAATGGCAAGTACACCGAAATAAAATTATTTTCGCAAAAGTCCAGGCCACTCTTAATCTTAACAAGCCGAAAAAATTACTAAAATCGTTTATCAGTATGGTTGTTAAAATTTCCCACCTGAAGAATGCTGGCAAGATCCGTGAGTTTCTGCTCCTCCTCATTGGTGGTCCCAAGGTCAGGTGGTTTTGCTTCTTCTTCAGTCAACGTGACTTCCATTTTGCTTCCACTCGTCCGCATTGCGTTGAATAGCGTCGACGTTTGGCTCCGTTTTACACTCGGGGGTGTTGCTGAATTCATCGACTGAGTCGTTGGCGGTAATTGTGGCGAGGCTTTTTCAGTTGGATCTGACGTCAACGCGATCATAAAACGGCCCACAATGGTAAGGACGCCTTTCACCAGACGCACAGCCCCGATCATGAGACCGATGATGAGGCCCAGGACATCTGCAATGACATCCACGAATGACATTTGTCGAAGACCGCACCAACACTTCCATAAATGGTGAGGACTGAGGAAGGAGATGAGAGTGCCAAGGAATGCAAAAACGGAGGAGAGTCGAGTTGCCTCCAGGAGGTTGCGAACAGCCACAACCTAGGATGAGAGACAGAGAAAAGTGAAGTTGGATGTTACCCTAATCAACGCTTGTTGTGGGAAACGTGGACCCGATATATTGATTAACCATCAGAATCGTGGGAAAGTGTCAAATATTTTGATGGGAAAATTTGAACTTTTTCGATTTTTTCTTTGGAACAATTATTGTCAGGATGATTAGAAATTGATGTTGCTGCCCAGATTTTTTGTTCCACTATGATGGCAATTGCCTTTCAAGGAAAAGGGATGCTTATGCACTCTTCAAATTTACTTGACTCTTTTAAACCCCAACAGACGTGTTTACGGAACGAATTTGAAGCGGTCGTAGTTGTCATAACCCCCAAACGAAGAACAAAGTCGACGAAGAAAGGAAAGCGTTAACGAGTGGCAATAATTGGCTACAGCCTTGTTTAGATAGACCTACCCGACTAATCTGTAAGTTCTCGTCATCTCCACTTATGCCCTGGGCATGCTGCATCTCGAAGATGGTGTCCTCGGCGAAATTGACGAAGCATTCCAGTTTCTCCTTATCACCACTCTCGCCCACCACCGAGTGAAGGAAGGTGCGTTTGGACTCCTTGATCTGCGGCTTCTCCCACTGGTCGATGTTCTCCTGACGCACCTGAAAGTAGACGCGTTCTATGCGACCCTCCTTGTTGGTAATTTCAATGCGACCCAGGAGAGGGTCAAACATCTCTAGCATGCCTTTCGCTTTCTGCAGAAGTCGTTCGAGGCTAGAAACGAAATAGGAGGTACTTAGAGGAAAATTGACCCGAGAAGACGCAGATTTTAAAAGTCTACAAGAAGATTACCGCCACATAAACCCTACAGCAATGCTCACCGTATGTCACCAGGGATGTGTTCAGAGAGGTTGGTCAGTAGCAGCGCCACATTGAAACCGATATCACGAGCTGGATTGTAGAAGCGTTCCGTGAACTCCTGAAAGTCAATTTTCCCATCCAAATTGGCGTCTACACAGCCCATTATATAGGTGATTTCCTCCCTGTAGACAGTTAGTAGAAAAAAGTAATCAAAAGCCACCATATGGCGAGGTGATGATCGAAATGATACTTGAAGATGTGAGACTCACTCATTCAAGGATTTTTGCTGCTCCAAAGCAGTTCGAAACTCTCGATGCGAAATCCACCCGTCTTTATTCACATCGAAAGCCTTCAGAGAGAGGAGGGAAAAAAGGTGGTTCAAAGGGTGACCAAGAAATCGATTTACAGGATGTAGCGTTTGGTAGAACTCACCAAAAAGGCATCGGAATTTGTGATCTCCTTCATCCTCAAAAATATGTCGAAGAAGGTCAAAGTAAGCTTGAAAATGGAAAAATAATGAGAGTCAGGAACTGATCAAACATTTCCAGGTCACTCGTCAATTACGGATGAAGTAGGAGCATTCTACACAAATAATAAGATTCCAGACCTTCTACAGCTTATGATGGCAATACAAGCAGGATGGAGTATTCTGGTCCTACTAAAACCTACAAAATGCATCACTGACTGCTGTTGAAATCCGAATCCTTTCCACTGTCTGGTTTTTAAGGCATCCAACCACCCATTGAAGTACCAGAGACGGTGCTCTGAAAGGACTTTCAGGCCTAACGACATGGACCCTTTACTCTACCAAACCAGGGTTATTGTTTCTTGTTCCTGCCTCCTACGTTGGCAGTTCTGTAGCCCTTCCATATGAACAACCAATATCTGAAAATCTGCTTCCCCATGAGGCAACATGGGAATAATAGAATTAAGAAAAGAAAGGCGAATAATGTGGAGATATTCAAAAGTAAGCTTCTATTTTTATGCCTTGGTGCAGTCTTCAGCGCCAATTGTCTGCTACTCCCTCTCGATTCTTCCTTTTCACTACATAAACACCTCCCTCCTTCAAGTGGTGTGTCACTCACTTCAACATTTGCCGAGGACTCTGCAAGTGTATCAACCATCTGACGTCCAATAGATCCGTTCACAACATTGCCCTCAAGCATGGAAAGCAGCATGATCATCATCTCGGTCTGGAGGTTGAGGAATTCGTGCAGAAGGTCTAGCTGTTCAGGATCCTTGCTCAACTTGTCCTGCATATGTGCGAAGAGATAGAAGAAGCCGGAAATAGCATCCCACAAACGACTGTTGGCCAACGCGTGCTGATTGCCCTGACAGGGACCCTGAAATAAGGTAATGTGAGCGTTTGATGACAAAAATTAGAGTCGATTTGGCATATACTGGCAAGGGGGCTTTTAAAAGTACCTTGACCGTAAAGTCCTCATTTCTAAGCCGCATTGTCAGTAAACGCAGTAGTACCACCTAGTTTCACTTTGAGAAAAATCGCGAATCCTACGACACCCACCTGAATATATTCTGTGAGCGTGCGGAAGAGCTGTTTGCCGATTTTGATGGCCTTGATGAAGTTTGTGCGACCCGACTCGTCGATGACGGGCTTATTGGAGAAGTGCCAGTAGAAGTCCATGATGGACTCCTGTAGACGCAACAGGTAGTCCACCGTGGAGATGATCAGATTCACCGATGTCGTGTTGCTCGACTGAGTGCGCAGGTAGTCCTGGAAGGCTGAGGGGCAAAAAAATTGGGGGCTCAATCTTTTGAATTAAACTCTATAGTTTGCCCCAATTTTATTATTCGGCCATTTGTTAAAATTTTACAGACACCAACTTCTACACTGATTGCCAACCGGCTTCCACTCTACAATGTGTCAAGTGTTCTACGTGCATTTGATCCTGATTGATGATTACCTGAGTTGTGGCCTTCACACATGAGTTGGAGAAGACGGAAGATTTTACAGGTGAAGTCCGCATCGTAGAGATTCGTGATACCCTCCATGTCTGACAAACCCACTGCCAATCCTTCAGCCTTTCGACACCTGCAGAAACAATGGCGGCATTGCGAAGCCCATTTATCTCAATCAATCAAAATAAAAGCAAAGACTGACCTTTCAAATGTATCAAGATCCAACACCGAGCAGTTCTGCATGAGTCCAGCTAAGCTCGTAAAGAAGCCCGTGAGACGTTTCTCTACCAAGTAGGCAAGCATTCGATTTTGCACTGAAACGTTCCCTTCGAGAAGAATAGCTATGCCCAACTCGACAGAGGCTATTGCCACCGGTGTCGCTTCCCCTATGGAAGTCATCAAGTTAGTATCATTCATTTGATATCAGTAGGGTGGTTTTATCTAGTAGAATTATATCACCTTTGGAGGCGGCAAGCTCAAGGAGGACCATTTCTGCAGCACCACGATCTGAAAGTCGATTTTGTTCAAAGAGAAGACGCTGTTTCTGTTCTTCCTGCTCTTGAGACGTGGGTCCCTCTTCTTCGCCCTCTTCTGTTGAGCCCTCGTCACCGCCACCACCACCGCTTTCATCGTCCTCGTCCTTACCTGAACAGCTCTGAAAGTGAGGAAAATTGGGAAATGTCATTCCATCTTTGAGAAAACTAGCTTTGCATATTATATAAGTGGATTTTACCTACTTTTTTCTGGTTATTTTTGTTAGGCAAAGTGGCTAAATCAATCAATCGTCTTGCAATTAATTTATTCTACTTTACTGCTACTTATATGATGTTATAAATGTTAAGAAGAGCATACCTTGGCCATGATGCGCGCAAACGCTAGATAGAGTGGATCATCCGGCGTCTGGTCCATGGCAGTTCGACAGAGCGCAGTGAGGAGTTGACGCAAAGGATCGGGATTGGCGCAGTAGTCTGTAGCAAACACTGAATGCGCAGCCCCTTCTGTGGGTGCTATACTATCCTCCACCTGCTCGTTAGTCAAGGGGGCAGAGGATGAGGCGGCTGCACCACCACCGTCGCTTCCACCACCGCCCAAGATGGAAATGCTGTCTATTGTGATCACAAATAAATGCTACTTATGACATCACAGTAATGCAATTCAAATCTAACCTGAGTGAATTGTTAACTCACCTTCGTCAGACAAATCAGAGTACATTGAACTCTCTATGATAGATTTCGCGATGATTGACATATTCTCATTATCACCACTCACGCCTCCACCGGAATCCGGCGATCCGGGATCAACAGAACCACTTCCAACATCACCAGAATGGCCGGAAGGTGCCATTCCAGCAATGGGAGTAGCAGCTGAGGTGTTGGTAGAGCCAGCGCCCTCAGGCGAGGCTCCCGCGATTTCTTCAATCAGCTGGACTCCTAGTGATTGTTCATAACTCAACCATCCATCATGGTAGGCCATGAGGAAGTGATTTATGGCACGGTGGCGTGGCAGAGCATAAAATGGCTGCATTCTGAAACATGCCATCACTGCGCGTTTGCGTTGCGTTGAAACGAGCTTCCTCCAGGACCCTCGGTTCAAGATTGTTGGAACGACATGCTGGTGACAAGGAGAATAGACCGAGAGGTAAATTTAATTGGAGTGCCTGCACACAAAATATGTCCAAAACAGTATCGAAGAAAACAAATGAATACTTGATACTGGACGTGCCAGTCATTAAGAATATACATCTAAAAAATCAAAACTGGTTGGAGATTTAAGATTAGTTGACTTTTTAGGCTCCAAAGTGAAGGTATTTGAAGTTTCCCACAGATTTGATGAGAAGTCATACGCTTTTATCATCTGCCCTGTCAATTACAATGATATTGAAACCGTTTCATCACATAAATAAGTGAGAATTGTTGCGATCTATGGGATAAAAAGACATCATCCACCGTGCTTGGACTATGAGTGAATGGATGGATGGATGGAGGGATCCCTGAAGAGGTATCACAGAGATAAGTCGCTAAATAAAAGATTTCCAAATGAATGGAAGAATCTGAGATAAGTGAATTCGGAACAAACTGATAGACTAGAGATTGATAAACCCCAAAGGAGTGGAAGGATGGATCTAAGATAGATGGATAGGAGCCACTGAAGAATATGGGCAATTTCAGATACAAATAGATGAATGGGTATGGGAACGGCATAAGGATGGATCAGCATTTATTCCCAAGTTCCATTGATGGAGGATAAAAGGATGGATTCGGAACAGATGAATAAATCTAGGATGTATGAGCCATTACGGAACCAACGAATGATGCAACGAAAAGAGGAATCTACCCAAAAAAAGTATTATCACACCAAAATGGAAGGACCAGAGACCTATGCGGATGGCAAATTAAATGGAATAATTCAAGGAAAACAAATGTCGCAAGAATGAAAAATGGAAGTATCCATGATGAAAGGAAGCATAAATCGGATACTTTAAATGAATGGATCCAAGGTGTTGGAATGAAAAGATGGATTCAGGAGAGATGAACAATTGATCAGCTCGGAAATCTGCACGCTATTGGAGCACAAATTACTGGGCCCGCCTAAGATGGACAACCAGATCTAGAACAAGTGGATGGATAGAATTAAGATTCAATAGGTTACAAATACACTCAGCACCGCTGGATTCTAAAGAAATTTTCTTCTGGATAATGCAAAGCATTTCAGTTCCAGGTCTTCAAATATAAGAGTTTTTTCCAAGATTATCTCATCGTTCGTCAAATGGCAGTCAGGACACCTCAATGGCGTTATAAGACAGGAAATATCTAATTTAGGTATCCCATTATCAACTTGAGTCAACTTCACGCTACTGGCTACTTACGCTGACGAGGTAGAGCGCATGCATGACCTTGGCCAAGGTCATTATCCGATTGATGACCTCTTCTTTCGTAGGTATGCCCAGGGCGTCGTGGCATCCAGTTACTGCGATGATTCGATCTATCTTCCGATAGAGCAGCTTCTGCCATCGATATGTCCTCGTCTCTGCCTGAAAGCGTTCGACAGCAATCAACAGGATGGGACAGAATAAGCCCTACATCACTATTCCAATAGCACTCACGTCGTCGTCTTTGTCTAGGGCGTATCGAAGGTACTCGATAATGTCGATTTCAACCTCATGCTAAAAATATGCAAAACCAAGATGGTGAGTAACTCGCCTAACTCCAAGGTCATCTAGCGTCAACGGTTCCAACCAATTAAAATG